TTGATAATCTCCTACCTCTTTTGTCTCTAACTCACTATTATTTGTCTATTTGTTTTCCTGAGAAACTATTTTGTGGATAACAATATGTAAAATAACCATTGATAATTTCCTACCACTTTGTCTGTAATTTGGTAAGCCTATGTTATCCTTCTTTTACCCTTTAAAATTAAAAAAAAAAAAAAGAAAAAAAAGAGGTTGAAAGACAGCCATGTGTGGGCTACAGTGAGTTCAAGGCCAGCCTGAACTACGGAGACCCTGTTTACAAAAACAAAACACAACAAAAAAAATAATTTAAGGGTAAAGGGTCACCTCAGCAACTTACTCTCATGGTTGTGTGAAAATAGCAAGTAATAAAATTACAATTTGTCATTTTGCAATTGATATGTTTTTAAAATAACATACAGGTTATTTTATTGTAAGCTGAAAAGACAGGAGAGGAGGCGAGACAGTGTAAGTCAAGTGTAGCCACACTGAGACCAACGGGTCTCTTCACAGACCGCATTCACCCTGAGCCTCTCCAGGCCCGAGATCCCTCTTCATACCGGGAAGAGGCACAAAGGAGCTTGCACACCCTGCCCTGGCCTGCTTCCAAAGTCACCTCCAAGGAGGCCTCCCTTCTCACCAGTCTGACAGAGCGGCCTCAGGCAAGGCCTCCCTCCCCAGATTTTCATTCTGATAACTGTTCTTTCGGGAGCTCCAAGAGACACACTCTGGGGGCTGGGGATTTAGCTCAGCAGCAAAGCGCCTGCCTGGCAGGCGCAAGGCCCCGAGTCCGATTCTTGGCACAGGATGAAAAACAAAAACAAACAAACAAACAAGAGACACATGCTGGGCTGTGTCCATCCTTGGCCTCTGGATTACTGGCCAGTGTGAGCCTGCAAGGCAGAGGTGGAGCTGCCTAATCGTCTTCCAGGAACAGGGTGCACCCTGGGAAACAGGGATCCTCAGCAAAGTAACAAGCAGGATGGTCCTACTCACTCCTGGCAGACGCCAGTATTGCAGATCGAGAAGAAACACACTGGCCATTCTCTACAGCTCCACATCATGGGACTCAGAAAGCCACGTGTGGAGATAAGAAAAACTGCCCTGCTTCTCAAGGATTCTATGTGCCAACTTGTAAAGAACTCTAAAATGCACCACCCTAGGACCTCAGGCCTCTGCTATGCTCCTGAGGATTCCTGTGCAGGACCACAGCTGAGCTCCCTTTAAGAACTGCCACCTCCAAAGCTCTCGGATGGAGTCTGACCCCACACACGTTAACATGGGCTCCAAAAGGCCTATTAAAGTTTCTTGAATTTCATGAACTTTGCCCTAAAGATCTTCCATACATTACTGGTTCCTAATGTTTCCCCTCCACCAAAGAACGCACGAACACTTTAAAACCTGGGTTTGTCAGGCTTGTGGTGCACTTATAAGCCCAGCACTTGGGAGGCTGGGGTAGGAGGGGTACTTCAAGTTCAAGGCCAATCTGGGCTACACAACGACTTTGTGGCCAATCTGGACTGCACAGTAAAAACCTGTCTCAAAACAAAAAAGTGGGGGTTTCGGGTGGGTAGGGTGCACCTTTATATCCACACGGTATCCTTGTAAAGACCAACCGTTTAGACCTCAGCAGCGGTGTTCCTATAGAACGACAAGCAGCAAAAAGCTCAATCTCTGCACATGATCTAGGGCCAGATAGCGCCTCAGCCTTATAACCAGTACCGTCCAGGGGACAAGGCCGCAGCAGGCCCAGGGCGGTGGGCAGTACACAGCTACACGCAGGTGTGGCAATAAGGCCCCCTGCAAGGTGTCTCAGTGAGAAACGGACCCTCGATGAGAGCACAGGCAGCCCGGAGGAAGAGCTGACACACCGGAGTGGCATTTCCCGGGGAATTCCCAAGCTGCCCTTCAGAAGCGCAGGGCAGGGGACCCAGGGCAGGGGACCCAGGGCAGCCACGCCCGCACGCCCCCCGGGCCGCTCTGCTCAGTCACCGGCTCCAGCATGCAGGCCAACACGCCCACGAGCCACTGATAAAGGTCTGGCGCTGTCGCGGACTCTCAGACACACCTGCTCTGCTTGATAAGCGCTCGCAGGCACCTGCGCGACCAGAGCTCCACTGAGGTCCAAGTCCCCCGCACCACTGCAGTCAGCAACCGCACTGCCCTCGCAGAGCACCGAGCGCGCTCGCAAGGGGGTAAAAAGCCAAACACAGCCGGGCGTGGTGGCGCACGCCTGTAATCCCAGCACTCGGGAGGCTGAGGCAGGAGGATCGTCGCGAATTTGAGACCAGCCTGAGCTACAA